CTACGTAATCAGAGTTGTAATACATAAACACTTAGCCCCTTAATAATCAAGACAAGGTAAACATTATATCTGCCAAATCAGGGTCTAACTGTTCACACAGATCACGGTTCAGTTTGACCTCGGTTTTAATTACAGCGACCTTTGGTACAGCATGTTGACTAACATTAAACAATCGAACATATCAAACTGTTACAAAATACATTTTACACTAATATGTGTCCCCAGTTCGTCTACAATACAATATGAGAAAAGTTCATCCTCTCTGTCTTTTGCCTGCTCCACTATTCAGAAAATGTGTGCTCAAACAGGCTGTTTAGAGAATTTCCCTTCATGACATCACAAAGGGCAGTAACCCCTCCCCCAGGTGGGTGACACTCCCACAGCTAGGTGTTTTGTTCTGCCCTCTGAGTCTGTCTTTCAACCACAAACAATCGGGAATTGGTGTGAGAAAAGCAGAGTCACCCAAGTCCTTGCGAGAGGGGGCGTGGTCAGAAACAGCTCATTTAAATATTTAAAGCTACAGACTCAAAAACAGCTTGTTCTGAGCAGGGCTGAAATAGAGGGGTTTTATCGGCATGGATTTTTAACAAGAAACTTCACAGGTATGTTTTGAGGAGCTCTGAGACTTATTTAAACTGGTTGAACGTTAGTTTTATATTTGTGACCTTGCCGTTGGTGTTTATGATGACCACATGTTGTTTGACTATTGATTAGCAGGCTAAACATAAATATGTACTGTAAGGCAAAAATCTACACATTATCTAAATACCACTCGATTTTTTAACTTTGTGAGGAAAACAGAAAAAAAATAATGATGATAAAATGTACAGTTAGTTGGTGTCTGACCTGTTTGAGTGTCAACTGGGCGAGCCAAGTGTTCTCCAGCATGTCCTTGCGCTGGGAGGGCGGGGCGTCGCGGATCTTCAGGAACAGGTCGTGGGCGCAGAGGCCGCATTGCTGACAGATACCCTGCTCGACCTCCAGCACCCTCGCGCGCATGTAGGTCTGGCTGGAGCGCAACTGGAACTCCTCCTGGCACCTGTGGGTGGGGGAAACTGGAACATAAATTCCCTCACATCTAGAGCAGAAATGCTTTATTTTCATCATCTGTTTTTTCTCTGATTCTGCTGAAAGGAGACTTTAAATGTAGGCGGATGTACATTGTGTTGAATTTGTGCTAACATCCAAACATCCAGGCATAGAGGAGAAGTGTCTCACCTTGACTGAATGACCTGAATTTAGCACTTCAAAGCCTCTTGAGGGAATTGAATTTCTGCTGTAAGTGGGTAGAAATACTAAAGGGATGCACGGATATGAGACAATAATTTTTTTTTTTCCACTGAAAAGAACGAAGCGATGGTCTTCTTTAGAGTGACCGTGTCGGTGAGAAGAAAAGGGTGCAGCATCTTTCTCAGGGACAAGAAGGCTTTGCAGGGACTGAATCAGCTGCATTGGCCCACTTTTCCATCATTTCATATATGTGTCAAAATACAGTGACCATGATTTAGCCTTGGCAAAAAAATATGAAAGGAAGAGAGAGGAGCCATTATAACTACGAGAGCAACAAGGTGAAGTCATCATTATAATGTCACGTTTATTTCAGTTTGTTTTGCACCAAAAAAAACCTCTCAAAGCTTGGAGTATAATTGCATTTTTTAAGGTGCCAGATGGCAGAGAGAACAATCAGAACTGTAGAGTTTAAGTAATCCCAGAGACAAACTATTTGAAAGTTCATTTAATATGATTTTTTTTGTGTATTGTCATCTTACCAAAGGCGTGGATTGTCCGATTGCAGACACCCATCTGCTGCTCGTAACAGGGAGTTCTGCTCCTTTTTTTTTTTGGCCTGGAAATGTCTCATTTCCTGATTCCTGATCATGATTATTATTCTGTTTTTACACCTATAGGTCATTTGCTCTGGTCTGAATCATGCACCAATTATTAACACTGTTGCATAATTACCTCAAGTTTGGTCTGGGTTCAAGACACGGGGACATTTACAAGAGGAACAAAATGCTCTCTAATTAGTTGGAATTTCTTGCAGGAAAATCCAGGAAGTGGACAAAGACTAGTTGACCCATGCCTTGCCATGGCTGCTCTGAAGACAATTCACAACTACACGGATCGATGTTGGCTCTGTTCATCCATTTTTGTATTATTTGCATTTATGATTTTAGGCAAAAAAAAACACAAGTAGCAGAAGGTGCCTAGGTGGACATTTCAGGAAGATGCATGAGTTAATCCTCCTGAAGCATGACCTGCTCATCCACAGACTTTCTTTCTGTCGATCCATTGGGTATGCCTGTGGTCTTTAACACATGTTCAGCGATAAGGGTCCGGAAAAAAGCGCACCGAGGTCCACCTTTTCAAGCTGTCTCGGTACGATTGACGGCTTTCAAAACGACGCATAATAACCACACTAACTTGGCAGACTGACTTGAGTTTGTTTTAATCGAAACCAAACAGGTGAGGTGTGAAAACGCGCTGACTGTGCAGAAATTCCTGAGTACACAACATTAATGTAGCTTCCTTACTGTGATGCATTTGGTGTGTTGTTTTACCTGTGGCTGCAGAATCTAGTGTCCCAGGCCCCGCCGGTGGTAGAGCAGGCCTTTTGGCAGGACAGACACAGAGGGACACCCTCACTGTCCACTGCCTGCAGGAAGCCGGACTCTGACGGCGGCTGCTCTTCCACTGCCTCGTCCTGCCTGCAGAGTCGACAGATGTATAGAAATCTATCACATGAACTGATTCTTCATTTGGCTATCTGTTCTGATATTTGCAGGAAAAAAACTTCAAAGTGACAAGATTTGTTTGCTGACATCGGAGTGGAAGTTGAGGTTGAAGCGCTTCAAGCAGTCGAAGTGTCAGCTCAAGTTGAAGCACATCAAGAGCTTGAAGTGTCTTTTGAATTATATACAATTATATAAAATGATAGAATATGTTAAAGGGGCACTTCACTTTTTTACAAGGAGTACTAAAGAGCTCATGGGAACTGTTATGTAATCTCTGACGGGGGCTCTGGAGGGGAAGAAAATAACCCTCATCGTGGTCAGCAGGATTCAAAAAAAAAAAAAAACAACCTGTTATTGAGTTCTTTAAAAGATGTGGGAAACAAACAGTAAGATGAAGCCTGATATAGGATGATGCATTGCATTATGGGGAATGGAGTTTAGAAATGATATGCAACCTTATCTCGGACCCTTCTTCTGCAGGTGCCAATAGTTTTTGTGTTTCTTCTGGAATTATTCAATGATGGATTCAGGAGACTGAGGATTATCCTAGATTTAATCAGCCGAGGTCAGACACACAAACTTTTCATGCCAACAGTCCTGCTTACAGTCTCTAAGCAGGTACAGCCCATAAATACCGTTCTATTCGGGTACACCTATAAAATGCGTGATGTCATCCACTGGTTTCTAAAGCGGACTTTTGAAGCCAGTTGATGATGGCCGCCATATTGGAAATGTGGCCTCAAACAAGCTTTCAGTCAGCCTAGGAAGAGGCAAAGAGGTGGAGCTGAGGCTCCTCACAAACAGCTAAAACATGCCCACCTGTCAGACAGATCAGCCACGCCCCTTATTACATACAAGTTATTTAAAAAAAATCAAACGCCTGAACAGTTTGTGCCACTCAAGGAATAACCTATTCAGACCAAATGGGCATTTTTTAAAATGGGTGTGTATGTGACTTGGGTTTTCTCAGCCAGTCTTTGAATCATCTAAGTGATATATGATGAAATATGACACTTAAGCCTGCTTCTGAACAAGCTAATGTTAGCTTGTTTAAGTGGGTGAAGATAAATGAGAAAATTAGCAAAGTCGTGATAGTTGGCATCAGTGTACTGGTTAACGCTTAACATGTCAAACAATGACAAACATACAGATATAAGGTTTAGTAAGTAATTGAATTTAAAGCCATAAATGACAAAATGCTGTATTCAGAAACGAGTTTAAAGCCGGAGGATGAGGCTGCTAATAGTGTTGAATAAATGTGTTTCATCTGTGTTTGCAGTCTGTATATTTGATTGAGGCAGCACGCCTTTGTGCACTAAACTTCAAAGAGAAGTTACCTTGACCAAATCGGCCTGCGAGCCGACGGCCACATTCAATGCAGAGCTCAGTTCTTCTACCATCCGCAGAATGCCACAACACACTTCAGTACATACTCGCTCTCTCTCGCCTGCTTTGTGTGCTGCACATTCAGAGTGGATGGACATATGGCTGGTGTGTGTGTGTGTGTGTGTGTGTGTGTGTGTGTGTGTGTGTGTGAAATGTGTGCATACTGTGTGTATATACATGGCGGTGATGTATCGACAGATCGTTTCAAGCATGAGTACGTGCATGCCTGTACTTTTGGCAGAGGACTGCGAGTCTTGGTCTTTTGCCATGTTGTCCCAGCAGGGTGCTAGAGCCACAGTGGAGGGGACAGATGGACTACATTTTTTTCTTCCCCCCATTGGTTTACAATTCAGACAGACAGAGAGAGAGAGAGAGTGGAACAAAGAGCCAACGAGATATAACACTACAGAGAAAGATTTAATCATTTGAAATGGAGAAGAGAAAAAAAAAACCTCTAAAAAAAGAAACTTCACTGCTTCAAAGTCGAGAAGATACCAAAAAATTATAAGTACCAAGGGACGAATGCTGTGCCAGCTACATCTAGTGGATGAAAGAGACACAGAAATAGACTTTTAACTGATGTGCCTAAAATGAATATGGTGAAAACGTGGACAAACAAATTAACCTAGAAATAGTTTACTGTAACTGCAACTGTAAATGCATTAGCAAGAGATGCTAACAAACCAAATAAATCAGAAGAGAAGTTTTACCATTATTTCAAAGAAATTGTTACTTGTACAAAACCTTCAAAGTAATTGAATTTCATATAGGCACAAAGCAAATAAGCATGTTGGCAGCTTAACATCGCAACATGAGGTATTCTCTAAAAAAAAAAAAAAAAATCATACTTCAAACCCCAGAAAATTGCACAACATGGCTTCAGCAAACGGCACGCAGCCTGCTACTGTTTACCACTGAGCTGATCTCTGATGCTTTATACCAAAGTAAAACCAAAGGCACAAGACGGGGGAAAAAAGATCTGACGCTGGTGAGTCCAGCTGTCGGTTCATGCAGTGTTTGTTCTAGTTCCTCTGACTTAATCAGGGAGTTGATTCCATGTTATTTATATTCTCCTTCCTTTTCATTTTCTTAAATGGACAGCACCCCTGGCTGCTTTTTGGGGAAATTTTAAAAACATAGTGCATATACGTCTATACATGAAATAAACAGAATCAAACAAGCTATTCATTCCACATTGCTATTTGCTGCATTTTAGGGCTGGGTATCATATAAGTGCATTTTAGATTTCAGATGAAATTTGTTTCCAGCACTTTGATTTGTTATCCAGATTTCCAACATTTCCGCAAAGTTCTCGTTGGAGTGCTTGTTTTTTCCCCATCGACTGTATAAAAAGGCAGCATAGCCATTGTCACATCACACATTGGATAGGCTATTTTTACTTCTTGGGGGGGAGATGTGACCATATTTGGAATAGAGGGTGGAGCTAGAGAGAAGCAGGGAGTTTGCAAACGCTGAGTTACCAAATGTTATAGAGTCTATGTACAAATTAACTAGGGAGCAAGATTGTCAAAACAGTGTTTCCTTTGGATTCCTAGAGACTTATTTTCTAGTCAGTCAAACAGAAATTTGAATTCAGACTTACTGACCATTCCAAAGGTAGAAACACCCTTAAAAAAACTGTCAACATCGAGGTAAATTATATAATTTAGTTTGCAGAGGGTGTATGAGGTTGTATTTGTGTTTTTGGCTCTGCAGTTATTTTATTTGCCTTTTGAGGTACAACTAAACACACATCTAAAAATGTAGTAACACATAAACTGCTGGAACATAAAGTTAGCTAGTAATCAGCTCAACGGCAATTTATTTTGGTTCAGAAGTGTTTAGAAAACCACACACAACAAGCTAGCTGCATGTTAGAAAGTGTGGTATTTCCCCTTCTCAATTCTTTCTGGAATTGTCACAGATAACGTGGTAATTCCTCCTGTTATTAAAAGCATTTTGGCACACATCCTGTATGGCACCTTTAAGACACTTTATCGACCTCCACAGGCATTTTGTCACACCTGTTGTTTTGTACGTGTGAGAAAAAAAGCGGTGTGTTTTGCCTCAGGTTTCCATGGTGATATTCTCTACTGGGGTGAGCTGGTCGTCGCATTTCACCAAGTAGATTGTATTATGGTCTATATTTACTGTACTAACACACTCAGCGGGGCCTTTGTGCCTCTCCCACAAGGCAAATACAGGTCTCCATGGAGACTGAAAAGGGACGGGGAATGAAAATACATCAAATCCCAAAGAGGAAAGAGTGTGATGACAAAAATGACCTACATGAACAGACCATGGCGAATTACCTTTGAAAAACAAGAACATGTCTGGACATGATCCATGAATTACAAATTACACCTACATGATTTAACACTTATTTTAAATCCCACCAAAAAAACAAACATTACATGTAGAAAATGCAGAACATACAGCTATCTTTAAACTTTACCTGAGTACCAGGGCATGTCAAGAGTTTTTTTTCCTGTGGGGCCCCGAATGAGGCACTGACTTGTGTGCTGGCATTTATGTGCAAACACACATGAATGAATTGCATTTAAAAACCCTGTCTATCGCCCCCTAATCAGTTGCATGCAAATTGCACGAAACCCTTTAAAGCAACACAAAAAAAATGGAGGACTAAGGATATATCTCCAAAGTAACAACTTAAAATACTTACAGAAAGTGTATGCAAACTCTTGCACAATGCTAGTTTGCAAAAATACATTCATGGGCAATGTTTCGGTACTGAGACATTGCTAGTTAGTTCATTTAAAGTAATTCAGAGTGCATGCACATTTATATGGACTCATTCCTTTCCTACACACCTGTCTTGTGAAGTATATGTGCAAAGTATGCAGTGCACCTTTAAGAAAAAACTAAAGACCCAGCTCTTTCATGAATACCTTCGACCTTAATGATGATAATGATGATGGTTTCGATATTATTGATGATGATAAAGACAATGGTTTTGTTTGATAACGACGACTTATAAGATGTTTTCTATACTGATTAGAGCTCTCAAGAACTGCCCTTAATGTTGTGCTTTGCCTCTGGTCACTTCCTGTCAGCACCTGTGTGTCCAATCGGACTCAAAGCTGATCGTTTGCTCTTACTGACATTGTTCCCTTTTTTCTAGATCCTTGCTTGTGTTGTTCTTACTCTCTGATGGCCGTCGCTTTGGATAAAAACGTCTGCGAAGTGAATTGTAGAATTATTTATTTGTACTTTAAGCTCTAAGACATAATATGCTACTTAGCACGTAAAGAAAACTATTAGCAGCCCATTGACCAATTTCCGCCTCTGACATGATATTTAGTAAATCAAACTTTTAGTAGAATTTTAGTGTGGCACCTTTTTTTAACATTTTAAGAGGTGGGGCATACCACCGTTGGCCACCCCTCTCTACGCCCCTTCTGGGCTTGACCTTGCCTGTCCTGAAGGTCCAGCCACATATCTATTCCTTAACCTACCTCTCTGAAGCAGGTGGTGTCGCAGACGCGACAGATCTCCTCTTTGCAAAGAAGTTTTCCTTGGTGACCAGTCGCACGCTGCCCCCCTCCTGCTGGGCCTTGTCCAGAGAGGCCTCAGCCACATCGTCCTTACTGAGGTACCTGTAAAAGAAACGGGATAAAAACGGCTGTAAGGGAATTGAGGATATTGTGGACGTTATATAACCAGAGAGGTCCATGAAGAGATCTCTTCACATGTAGAGCACGGGGGAGTAGGTGCAAGAAGATAGACTCTCTCTGGACAACATTAGCACCAGGTATCATGGGAAATTTGTTGTTGCTCAGGCAGAACTGTAATCTTAGTCATCTGGTCGAGACTGCAGAAGTCCTGGGACAGAAATGTAACACACACCAACACCCACAGAACTGGCAAAGCTTTAAAAACTGCCTCAGTGGAAAGCCATTTGGGTTTTTTTATATATTTTTTGGAACCACATAGTGCTTAAATGCACAAATTATGACTTTTGGAGCTTATTTTTTTATTCTTCTTGTGTTCTCATTGTCTGTTTGTCTTCATCCCCTGCTGAATACTGTTGCTATTGCTGCTGCAGCAATCTAATTTCCCCACAGGGATCGTCAATCATCTAATCTAATCCATCTACCCAGCCATCGTTTTTTATGGTCCTTGTAATTCGCCTGCTAGGTGTGCAAGTCGGAAATTGCATGAAACACAACATGTCAATCTGGTCAGGATTAAAATGACCCTAGCATGTCTGAGTTGACAGGAAATACAGGAGAGGAGGAGGAGACTTGTTTGTTCTGGTCAGAAGAAAATTGTTGTGGTCTTTGGAGAAAAGTGACCAATCACCAAACATCCCCAGGTTACATTGAGGCTTTCCATGGAGGGATGATACAACACTCTCATGGTCCCAACAGACCAATTATCCTTTCTTTTTCCTCTTCCATTGGAGGTCAGAGGCCAAGCTTGGCGACTAAACACCAGACCTGCTGCTGGAAGCAACTCAGTGTCTCATATTATGTGACCTCACTTGCCGCTCGTGTCAAGCATCGTTGTGTAATACTTTCTGTAATGACCCTTTTGAAGGTGAAGCATTGATCTCATTCTCATTTGGAAACGATTTAAGAATCAACCTTCCGAAGGGGAATTTATTCTGTAAACCACAATGATAAAATGCGTTTGAATAAAATAAGAACCCAATTTCTTCTCTGAAAGTTGCTTGTACCTTTAAGATTTATCAGTCAAGTTAATAACAATATGCTGCTTGGATAAAGACCACTACATCCCACTGTAGGCAGTTTGGTCCGAGGGAATTACAAAGGGATTAGAAATGGAGCAAAGGTTTTTAATGGAACGAAAAGCCAAATGGCTGCTTTAAAAAAAACAAAAAACTAACGCAAGTGAGGAAAAGATGAATGGAGAGACAAAGAGGCCGCCATCAGAGGGCATGGCTGTTTTCACAGACAATCAACTCAGGTGATGAAGCTGTTCAGAAATTGTTGTGTAGATCGATAATTAATGTTGCATTTTACAAACACTTGCTGTGACAGCTTTGTCGATTTCTTCAACTTAGTTGGATGGAACTTTATTGCTGGCAGACAAACAGTAGCAATGCCAGCGCTGAAAATAAAATCAATAACTGGAACAGCTATATATATTCCTAACATATAGGAAATACATTTAATTCTATTTAACTACACTGTTAAAAACGGCCTGTGGTTAAACTATTTTACATTTTCCTGAAAGCTTGTTTATGCCACTTGTACAATGCACAGGGACAAAATTGGATGTTGCAGCCATAATAAGTGTACTTATATATCTGTGATGTTCACAGAGGTATTCACCACCTATTCTCTGAATGGGCAATCTGATGCATATAAAAGTGACATTTGAATATGAATTGGTTATTTAATTCTACTTGAATTGTTAAATTATGCATTTCCATCTTGAATACGCTGTTTTTGATTACAACTAAGGAAATAGTAGCCTCCAAGAAACACCCTGCTGTTTAAATGGGATGGTGTTGCCACTGTTAAGCGTTGCATTTAGTATTTATACTTGGCCCTGCAGGCTTTGCAGGGACATTTTTATTCATTTCAACCACCTCCATCTGGACAGAATACTTTCTTTGGAAGGGAGATGGAAAGAAGGTATAGGAGGGAAGAGAGAAAAAAAAATGAAGGAAAGATGGATGACAGGAGGCAGAAAGTGGAGGAGGAAGACACATCAAAGAGCAGAAGTTTCTGTGGAGGCTGAGGGGAGATGAGGAAGAAGGTAAGTCTCCATCAAACATATGAGCTTCCTTTGCTTCAAACAGTCCCAGCGCAGAGGCAGGATGAAACAAGATACCTTACACTAAACTGGAGTCCAACTGCGCTTCTGGGAGACTGTGGATGTGAGTGTCTGTGTTTGCATGTTTTTTATGAAGCTATACTTGGACAGTAATTCTGTACTCTAAGGTGACTGCTGTTCTGTCCTTATGCATAGATTTCTTGGGTTAAAACCTTTTGACAATGAGTACTTCTATTGAACAACATTTACAAAGGTGGGTGTCTTTATTATTAGGAGGTTTGCATATTGCCACTGGCTAAGTTGGTTGTGTTGTTAAGAGGCTAAAAGGTGAAGCTAAGGTAATGAAAAACTAGTTACCAGGGTTTTAGGATCCACACCATGTCTTTTGGTTTTAAACACTCAATGTAAACATGATCTTTAACATCCACAAAGAACCTTTCAAAATAGACTTTGACATTTTGAAGCCAGACAAGATGGGTCCACTTGCTAAAATATGAATTTACTAAAATATGCAACTACTAAGAAGAAATGATGGCTACCATGAACAAAATGACAAAATATACAATTTTCTACAGTCAATTGTTGACCCTGTTTACAAGCTTCCAATAACTGCATACTGCCAGAGTTAGAAGATACAATTAGGACCCCTTCCATGTCGGCGCTGCCAATTTAGAAGCTAAAGCTAGCAACCTGCTAATTTACGTTGGCTTAAGACAAGGAGCAGTTGGAACAGCTTGTCTCTCCACAGTTTAAAAAAAAAAAATAGCATACCCACACCTTAAATACTCACTCTTACCCCTTACACATCATTCTTATTTAATCACTTACTTGACACAATAAAACAAAAAGATTTAGACAACTTCCAAAACGGTCTTGCCAAGTAAAAAGTTAAGCTAGCAGCCAATTTCCATCTTCCAACACCTTTAAAACTCACTCTTTCACAGTATGCATCATGTTCATTTAATCACCACAACCACATAAGAGGATTTAGACCACCTCCAAATCTGTCTTGCCAAGCACCGGTAAGCAGCTAAAGTTAGCATGCGGCTAACTTACCTCGGCAGAATACAAAGAGCTTTGGGAAACAGCTAGATCTGTCCAAAATAACAACCCCCTCCTCGCAGAACCATTTTAAACTTAATATTCAACATATCAACTTGTCTATCTAACTGCCTGGTTGCTGTTGTAGCTTCATATATAAACAGGATTTTCTTGTCAGTTTCCTGATTCCTCTGTATCTGAACTATGACTTGATTGTAATATGGTACATTCTATACTTTTTGAAAGCTTAACATTTTAGAAATATGCAAGATAGTTGTTGGAGGTCACATCATCTTCCACAAAACCCAGCAGTTAACTGTTTTCTTTCTTTTTTCAGGGGGGTCATATGGACACCCTTTTCTGCTGGTAACTATTGAAACGCAGCTGTAGGAGTGCTGTTTCAGGTCTGTATGGCAGCGGGTTGCTGACAGCGTAGCTACAGACCCACAGACAGCTAAGGCCTGCCTCTGCCTACACCGGCCCCGCGGTTCAGCTCCGGGGCCAGACCCCGCTCAGCTGTGTGAAATACAACTAACGAGCTTATGCTGCAGTCTGGCCCAGCTGAAGCTACTTTAATTGATTGCTGCTATTCTCCACTTTCCTCTGTGAGATACGGCTGATACTGATACAGTCTAGTAAATGTTGGATGCTCAGAATTCCCAGCTGGTTCATGCAACGGGAAGTATGGTCATTAAATTGTTACATGTTAGCATGCATATTGGAAGCTTCTGGTTCTTAATTAGTAATGATCAAGTAGTTATTTATGCCCTTTTCTGCATGGCAGTAGTCTACAGCTACAAGACATTTAAGTAATAGTTTCCTCAATAACCTCTTAATTACTGTTGATTGTTAGCCAATAAGTAAGATTGTGTTCATAAAACAACCTTTATCTTGCACATTGAGTCTACACCTGCTGTATGAAAATATGCTATATAAATAAACTTGACTCGACTGGTTTCCCCACTCTACCAGAACTAAAGATGTGCAGAATGGTGCAATTCTTTGTATTGACAATTGAAGCACATTCATACCCTTGGTATGCATGATTAAAAAGGAACTCATAAAAGCCAAAAAAAAAAAAAAAAAACTCTATATAGTGTCATAATGGGCTCTGATGGAACTAAATTCTAATGTATACTTTCTGTAAGTGTAATTCATAATTCATCTTATTTTACATTTCATTTGAATGGAAGTGTTTTCTATACCATGATATATGGGGCGGCTGTAGCTCAGTGGTAGAGTCAGTCGTCTCTGAAAAGGAAGGTCGGGGGTTCGATCCCCAGCTCCTGCAGCAACATGTCCCATATGTCTTTGGGCAAGACACTTACCCCCAAGTTGCTTCTGCTACTGTCAGAAAACTAAACTATATAACCATATATAGGCGATAATGAACCGTCGCCTGGACAACTGATAAGAAAAACATTGACTCTTTCTTTCCTCTTTTGGTAAGTGTCTCATAAAGACTGAAGGTATGAGCTACTTATATTTAGATAATGAGTCTAAGAAGTTATCTGCATTCTTTTTTTCATTACAATGATTACAGTGTTATAGAAGCAATAGACTGTTTATAGCGAGTGTTTGCAGTAATTAAAGCAATGAAGCGTACTTAGGCAGGATGCAAACTGGATTAAAACCCTCTCAAATCACGGTAAATCACCGTGAGTGGCTTATAACGGAAATATCCACGGTGTTGGAAACCCAAGGCAGAGTGCTCCTAAGTTTGAAGTAGTTGAAAACTGAGCGTCTCAGAGCTGGAAAGGTGAGCCCGCTGAGCCCCGCTGAGCCCGACGCTGGAGCTTGATTGGTTCTGATTAGTGAATAAATCAAACAGGTATCAAATCAAGCCGGGCCAATTGCCTCCTACTCACACCTTGATTAGGTTCATGCACCCAAACACGCTCCCCGGTTGAGAAACACTCTCACTTAGACACACACACGCATGCACACGAGTCTACCCTGTAATTGGCAAACTCTCCCTGCCTCTATACACGCCAGCTGTAATTAGTGTGCCAGCAACAATGCTTGTTTGTCAAAAAACACACATGTACACACACACACACAGCGCACATCACATCCTCTCTTATGCTTCAGCTGACACCCTTTGATACACCCACACACACACAGACACACAGACACACACACACACGCACACACGCAAATGCTATTCAGTCTTCCATGGCGCCCGGGGCAGTTAGTATTTACAAATCTGCTTGTTTTTCTGTGAAATCTCCCACATTGCTTCTTAGTTTCTGACATAACGCTGGGAAACTTATTCATCTCCATATTTCCGGCTTAAAAAGTGTACACTAACTGGCACAACAGGGGGCGCTGGGTCAAATTATTTCCTCGCTTCAGAGGGAGAAACATGTTTGCTGGATCAGAATTTTATCCATGGTGAAAATAAAGGCAGATTTTAGTATCTACAAAAACATGTACTTAATTTTTGATGGAGGGAAATAAAAACATGCTTCTCTTTTTAGCCAATAAGCTTACTCTGTCTGCTAGCTTACACACGGATTTGTACTGTTTTTATTAAGCAGCAGGCTTTTCAGACTAGCACTGATTGTCCTTGGTGAGTGTAATTCTATCTTTGTCAGCTTGATGGGCTCTTTTAGCATTAAAATAAATAATGCTGGGATACTCTTGTAGCTGGGATACTCTTGTCTACCCTAACTAGTTAGCTAGTTAGGGTAGACATGTTATTGAGTATGGCTAAGTATGGCTAATGTTAGAGTGGAGAAAACACACTGTTTACTAGGGCTGGAATGGGATTGTTATTGTCTCTTTTCATTGGCTGCATGAGAAGACTGTTAACGCTGTCCCATCCCCAAGTCTCCTTCAAAAGCAGCCAAAAAATGTGTCCTGCCACCAAAGGATCCATCCGGGGCATCGTTCGAGGCTCAACATTTTCCCAGATTCATTACGCGCTGTTACTTTGTACGCTATTTCTTCCCCCCCCTGCTAGCCATAATGTGTACATGTTTACTTATGGTTTGTTTTCTCTCCCTCAGGTGCGTGTGGTTGGGGTGATTACTGCATGTCAACATCAGGAGGCAGAAACTGGCCTGCTCTGCTCTCTCTCTCTCTCCCTCTCTCTGCTTTGCACCTGACTGTCACAGCTCATGCAGTAGCTGCGGTTGATCATGTTTTACTGATGGATCTGGCAGGTTTCTTTCTCTTCAAGGCTTTTGTTCAATGTTTGTTCAGGAGCTTAGTCGGTGTGATGTTTGGTTTAGGGCAGAGGGTGAGTTCCTGAGCTGACAGCCCTCTGCGGGCTGGTTTCGGTGACTTACCCTTCTTTTTTTGTTTTGTTCTGTCAGCCAGACCATCAGCCCATATTTCCTTTGTTTCCTTCATAAGAATTAATATTTAATATATACTTTACTCTGATTCTTCGGTTTATGTTTGACTCCTTGAAAACAAGTCTTTAATTTAGGGGTCATGTAACACGCACCGATTCAAAACAAGCTGGCAGACTCTCAAGAGTTCAAGTCATAAATACCATTTAAAATGGAAGTAATGGGGGGCGCAGAAGACCCAGTGAGTAGGTCGCACCCCATGCTAGGAGGCAATAGTCCTCCAAGCGGGCGACCCCGGGTTGAGTCCAACCTGTGGCACTTTCCGGCCTGTCATTCCACACTCTCTCTCCCCAGTTACCTACTCTATCCACCGTCTAATCAAAAAAAAAAATGATGTTAGTAACTGGATTCTACTCAATCGAATAGCTACCAAAGTTAAAAAAAAAGGGGCCTTGAAACTTTAAATTATCTTTAAAATGATAGGTTACATTACCTGATGTTAGCTATGTTAGCTAGTTCAGGTGCAGCTGTTGCGGTTGAGGCTGAGATGTAGCCTCAGTGAGGTCACCCATCGGTTTCTGAAGCGGACTTTTGAAGCCCAACGATGGCCGTCGCCATACTGGAAATTCTGTTGCAAACTAACTTTTTTGTAACACAGTGAACACAACGCGGAGAACAACAAATATAGAGTTTACTTACCTCTGTTTTCAGAAATGAATTACTCCACAATGTATTTACATAAAGGGTATTCATATTCAGAATGTAGCATATTATGTCTTTAAAGCGTCGTCACAAAATATCAAATAGGAAGAGTTGTGATACTTAAGTGATTTATGTTTTTCGCCACACTTAGTGTAAATACTTTTTGGGTTTTGGAAAGTCTAAGAAACACTCGTTGAAGAGGGAGTGTCTGTCTTTCTTAAGAATGATGCATAGCTCTTCAACATGTGAATAGCTCGACAGGCATGCACTGATGTTCTAGGCAGGGTTTAGTGAATGGTCAATGACTGCCAAAATAATTAATCACAGTTAAGCTTTTGAAAGTCAAAGTAGCACATTTCCTTCAAGAACACATTTCCAGCCAGAAACTGACCTCTTGGTGCTCGAGTGAGGGCGCTGGGCGGCGGCCAGCTGCTGCAGGCCAAGAGTTGGGCTGTGGAAGAGGAGGCCGCTGCGTCGGAGCAGTTTCTGCTTCATGGCTGCCAGGCTGCTCCACTCCTGAACGAACCTCAGGACCTGCAGCGAGGATGGGGGGGAGGGGGGGGGACAAGACACCTCGCTTCATATTCAATTTCAAGATGAAATTTGAAACTGCTGGAGCCTTCATCTTCAGCACAAATTGACAGTTTGGGTACTGGAGTCTGTTTAAGAGCAGAAATATTTTTTAAGTTTTTGAAATGCGAGCAGAAAACAAACAATCTATACCTGCGGAACACACAAGTACACACAAATACACACATGGAGGCAGCTTTCCTGATGGCTGAATAAAACCCATCAAACCATGAGAGAGAGAGCCTTCTATGCTTTCAGCCAAGTCAAGGATTCAAAGAAAATCCGCTGGCAAAATAACAAATATCACACCAAGCACCTAGGCCTAATGGGCAATATACCAGCCTATATTACACTGGAGGACTGCCCCCCCCCCCTAAAGATGATACTTTCTCTCACACAAAGATTATATTTCTGAAGATAAAACTCAATATGCAATATAAGAAAGAGATTTCACTACCCAGGCTTGCATTGCTGTTACTCTAGGAGTTGAATTTTGAATTACGAAATAATAACAAATTGGATAAACTTTTTTGGTTGTCACTAAATCTGAATCTGAATATTTTAGAGCATGATCAATGAGGGAAACTTAAACATAGGTTTTTTATTTGTATACTGGACGTTCTTTAATCTGAATGATTCGTTGTAACCCTCCTGAATATTAAATGAATCCCTATGGGATAGAGCCTGACCGATTAATCGGCCAGCCGATAATATCGGCCGATATTATCATATCAAGTGACTATCGGCATCGGCTTATTTTATCACAGATTTGTGCAGATATTAATAGATTTATTCACCAGTCAAATAGTATTTCATTGTATTAAACTAGCAGTTCTCTTTCACCAGCAGAGTGCACTATATAGATTGCAACGAGCATTATCACTCTCCAGATTGTCGAGCGGTGATGCATGTACGTACATGCGCGGTTACTTTTCAGTTGAGTGAACATTTTGTCTTCATTATGCTGCATATCTTTTCCACAAGTGATTGATAACTGCATTTGAGGGATCATTGCATTCATTTGTGTATCTCTATCTTTCTGTACAGATCGCAAGTTGATCTGAAGAGATCGGCCGATATATTGGTTTCAGATATCGGCCCAAACATTTTCATATCAGTCACGCCCTAATAATTATGCTAATTCTTAATTCCTAAAACTGAGAAAAGACAAGCACCCTGATAAATATTGTTTTGTATTGTGAATGCAAAAGCAAACAGAACAGAATTTGTAACTTGATGATATTACTCTGTGAATGAAAGTTTATTTTCATACAGATATTTAATTTGGTAACTACAGGATGATATTCCACTCGAAGCACTTGGAATTGAGCTGAGCAGCTAATGCAGTGCTGTCTGTATTAAGCCCAGAGGGAGATCAAAAGGTCAAGATCTGCACTCAGGATGTGTCTAATATCACAACGGATCGAGGAAACCCGGCTCAACGTGGGCAGGAATGTCGGACAAGCTTTAGAGATATCCCGGGGTTACTGCTCCACGAGGTCGTCAAAGGTTAGTCCAAGGCCTAGAAGTCAAATCGTGCTCCCGACTGTTTGTTAATTTCTTCCTAAGAATGGCTGGTGAAAGAGGCCAACTATCTATTGCTCTGGATTAACTGTAATTCACAAAATAATACCCTTAATAACACTATATTTTCCAGCTTTAAACATAAAATAAAAGGTAAGCTACAATCACCACACCCATTGGTATGAAATCCAAATAATAAAAGATTTTAAAATTGTTAGTTTGAGCAGCCTCTTATCTGTTTCAGCTTCCAAGCCGCGCTGCAGCGCACATTAAACCGCTTGTTTAGTATCGATTTTGATGGACAATTGCTGTGTAACAGGGCGTAAACGATGGGTCAGGGGACGGTTGGGAATCACGCCTGCGTTTTACACACCAACATAAACAAGGTGACAGGTGGGGCGTCTGTCAGCCGCTCGGTTGCTGCCGTGGCAGATTGCAGGATTTAATATTAGCTGGCTTGGCGTGCGGGGTCGTTTGAGGCGATGATCCGTCTCCTTTAATGACCCTCATAAAACGGCACTTCCTCTATCGCTGGTCTCGTCGGATGCCCAAAACCCTCCCCTAGAACCAGCACATCTCTTATTTGTTCTCTCCATCACCTCCTCCAAACCCTCCCTCTCCGCCTTCAGGCCCTGTCTACACCCACACTCCTATCTCTTTTGCCTCCAACGCCCTGCTGCTCCCTGTCTTCCTCGTGATCAGCTGTGTCATTACTTTCATATGGCAATAACACACACACACAAACAAGCCTGTTTAATAACCCCATGCAGCCTCATCTTTACTGGGTCAGTGGAATTGAAAAGATAGCCCTACTGACTGCCACACCAATCAAAATGATCTGAGTAGAAAATGAGGCTCACATTTACTGCAGCCCACTAACTTCCAATTAAACTCTTGAGTACACGTTTAAGTCGTCTTTGAAATCATGCAAAGCCATATGGTTGAATTTTCTTGTCTTTCTTTTGAATCAAAAGAGGAGATATTGGCACATTTTAAGAGCTAAAATAACTCCAGTGGAATTCCCCTTTAAGGTGTTTTTTTTTTTTTTTTTTTGCAATAATGAATCATTAGGTAGGTACGTCTCCCTGGTGTTATCCACATGCGCACCCACACATATTCACAGATATCAAAGCCCCACGCAGGAGACGTGCACACACACAGCCTGGCGGGAAGGGCAGACCTGTATTCGATTTTCCCGACGCCGGCTGAAGGCCTCCGGCAGGTCGTCCCAGTTGGTTAGTTTGATGTCCAGAGGGACGAAGCTCAAGTTCAGCGGCGTTGCGTCCTAACAGATGAGGAGACAGACAGAAGTGAGACTATGGCTGCTGTTACTCTTTCTAGAGCTTCTTTTATTCATGATGAACACATTCATTTAAAAATAATTCTATCCAGACAAAGTGTTCCCTTTTGCGCTGGGACTCAACAATTTTGTAAATATACCAGGATTAGCTAAAAGCTAGTTTTTATTTAGTCGGAATATTTTTAAAGGGACCATTTCTTGAGAAAAAGTGGTTTCAGATATCCAACAACCAGGGAACAACAACTCCAAAGTGTTGTATTTCTCTTCCAATACAATGAATTACTTTATTTCTCACCAATGTAAGAAAAACAACTCTTCAGCTCACGTAATAACCATAACCCATGAGGTTAACGATTGTTATAGTTGTTCTGGGAGTTCACAGGTCATCACAAAAGGACAAAAGATAGCACAGTGTAATTGAGGAATGTTAAACTGCAATAAAAAAATGTGATATTAGCTAATCCCGGGATCAGCGGGAGCAATTTGAGGTTAATATCTTCCCATTGGACACTGGAACCCTTGACAAACGTCTGACTCTACCACTGAGCCACAGCCGCCAACACAGTCAGTTTATGAATCCTCTGGCTGACAGGCAGGTACAAGATTCATCTTTTAGTCTTATTGATTATCCGGATGTGAGTTAGCATCAGTGTTGTTTCCAATATGGTGACAGCCATCATGGGCTTCATAATACCTCTTGAGAAAGCAATGGTTGTGTTCTCTTCAGCATGTCTATACAAAAATGACACAGGTACAAAAAGAGAAGTAGAGAGGAAATGGGCATTTCTCTTCTTGAGTGTCTTAGAATGTGCCTTTATACTGATGATACTGTGAGAAATGTAAGAAAAACAACACTTCTTGGCATGCATCATTCAACATCATAAGCCATTACGTTAAGGATTTTTATAGTTGTTCTGGGACTTCCAGTAGATTGCACAATAAGTCAAATAACATGTGATTCAAAAGTCAAGTTTGGTTTTAGTGGGAAGGCTTTCTCAAGGTGGTGAAGAGAAATAGAGAATATTTTTGTTGGACTGAATTACTTTCACAAGGCAGAAGAGAGAGCTCCATAAACACACTCAGTGGCTCTTTGAAGCAGTAAATGGAGCTCAGGTGCATAGTGGCAGCACCACACTACACAACACTCAGTCCCTTCATGGTTCTTCAGGAGCCTTCCTGACTGGCTCCTCGTGTTTTTCCTGCCCAAACAGTTGGTGAGACGTGGGATTTGCTGCTGAGTCACTGGTGTAACCAAAGTAAACAGAATACAAACCCCGCTCGTTTACTTGCTCAGTTTACTTCTGAGTGAATGACGATTGCAGCCTGGTTATTGTCTCACTTTCCCTGACGAGAACAAATGTCAGGGTGATATTGTAGTTATGTAACGAAGGCAGGAGGGCTGGATTGCAAACAAGCCTCACTGATGCTATCAAATAAATGTTACCTTTATGTGTCAGAGAAAGGTTGGCGTCTTTCTGTTTTTCTCATTTGTTGCAACAGAAGAGTTTCTGTTGAGGCTTATATTACTTTCTCAGATATTGGAGGGCTCTGCTTTGGTACGGTGAACTCACAGGATGAGGGCAAACAAGTAGAGAATGCTCAATGTTTTGTGGGTGAAATCAGATTTCTGATCGCTTGATTTGACAGTGCAATAAGTGCCAAAGAGAAGTGACACACTTTTGAATAAAAAATATGACAAACTGCAAAGGACACATCCTTATATCCTAGGCATCAAATTACACTGTTTTCCACAATTTGTTGTAGATGGACACGAGTACATTGCTATCAGATTCATTGGCATTTGATTATTAATATAAAATGTAATTTAATGTTAATAATCCATTACCTCACATTTTCACATTTGTACTGTAATATTCTTATCTCAGCATTAAAACATACGTTCAAATCGACACATTGCAGATTTATAAAATGAGATTATACGATTTTGAATCTCCATTATGTTTGACATGAGGGCATTTTGCAACACACATATGATGGAGAGATATTTTTTAAATGTTTTGACAACTTTGGTGGATCTTTGGCATGACGTTTTGCTCAGGTATTCAAAGTTTCACCCTGAACAACAGGGGTGTTTTCACTGGGGTGGCCCACCGGGGCACCGCCTTGTGAAGGAATTGGAGACACATTCAAAAAAGTATATCTTAAACCGATGTATCTCATAAAGTGGATGTATACGTGCTCACATAAGAAAACACTGATGCAATAGTGTTAAAGCTACTAGCAGCCTGTTACACAAAAAGTTGGTGTAAAGTTAAGTCCCGCCCCTAACCGCTCTTATAGCTAATAATAAGCTGTTTCAATTTGTTGGTAGCGTCCTTTGAAGGATTCAGGATACAAAGGACCCAGCCTAAGTTGCCTGTGTAGAGTGCTGTTAGCATCATCAGCTGTCCCCGCCCTCACTGTGCTGTTTCTAAGCTCCACCCCTGTCGCCTAGCAACGCACGCACCAGACAACCTGATTATTACCGCCAAACAATTGTTTCACAAATGTAAACGAATGAAGAGCAAGTCATCATAGTTATGTGAGACTGAGGGTGTAAGGACTCTTGGGATTTCTCGGGCCACAAGAGGATGCATCAGGTGGAGTAAAAACAAGGACGCATTTGTTTAACGGGTCCTTCGACGCAGCGCTGTGATGTAATCAGCCTTCAAATGCAAACTATGAAGAATCAATCAATCAATCAATCAATCATTAGTTGTAAAGCCAATTCATGAGAAGTGTTATCTCGAGGCACTTTACAAAAGAGCATGCAGGATGTAGCCATAGGTAGGAATTGGGGTGCTATCCTGGGTTCCTAGCACTTTTAAGGGTGTTTTTTTTTTGTTTTTTATGGCCCACTTCTTAGATTTACGACAATTCCACCTCCTTCACTTGTACTCACTTTTGCACTTGTTTTTTTTTTTTTACGGCTAATTATCAAATGTTGGCATTATAAAAACTAACCCTAACCCTTCATTAAATGCCTGTTGGAACGTCGACTCTAGCATGTAGCACAAAGCATGAACTCACATACTTGTTCTTTTTTTAAGTGCAGGTCTGGTGCACATGCATATGAAAATGATATTTGTGTCAAAATCAGATAACAAGATATGGTCACTATTATCTAATGTGTGGAAGCCCTGGATTTGACATGTAATTCTTAACAGCCAGAACACATGGTGCGATGGGTAATGTATGCTAATTTATGGTAATATAATAATGGGTTTGTAGTAGTACTTGTCCTTCTTGAAATAAACCTCTTTGTTGTAGATGAAGGATGGAACTATGGGAGGCTATTTGGTCCGTATGGAACATGTACAGTATGCTCATAAAAAACTGCAGCACCAAAACTTTCTATAATTAGGAGCTAGTTTAATAGCATTTATGTGCAATTAGTTCCATTGTGTACTGCAGCACAGTGTATTAAATTACAGGTACTTTCAGCCTTGCAATCAGATTTTTAATGACTAACTTTCAGAACTTCAGCCTAATCACACCTTTCTCCTATAATCTGGTTACATGTTTTTGTCTTCATTGGTTGCCATGGTAATTTTGGTGGTAACCAAGGAGCTTGTTAATGATTTCCATTGTTTTCCCTCTTTTATTGCAATATATGTACACCACTTGAAGCTAATGCATGCTCGTGTGACAGTAGGCATGCATTTGTAGCAAAAAATAATGAGGGATATAGAAGTGAAAAAAAAAAAAAAAGAAGAAGCAGCTGTATCTACCCAGAAGAATGCACCTCACAGTGATTATGGGTAATCATACTGCTACAGCTTGGAGGTAACTGCATAATCATTGTAAAAAATATCTCCAATAAAGCACAATTTCCCAGTTATTACTGCTTCATTAGCACTAACTACTGCCAATTTGAAGCCTGGGAAGCCACTTACACTTATTGTTGACCTCACTCACAAGACAGTGATTGTGCCAAATGTCAGGCACATTTTACTAAAAATGTCTGACCATCGGATTTCCATTGAGTTTACGTAAAAGCTTGAATCTGATTTCATTAGCCAGGCAAGATGGAAAGGACATACAGACTGGGGAAGAGATCAAGTTTTAAGGTTAATACCTGCTGGCATTAAGTGGGAGATATAAATCAACATACAGGAAGTGTTACCTGAGCTGGTTCCTTACTGCACAGTCAGAGGCTCGTGTGTTTATTTGGAGTATGGTTGAATAAATCTCATGTAGAATCAGGGAAATTGTGGAAAAGTTGTGCTGCATGGATACAGAGAGGCTGAAAGTGATGTGTAATATCCACACCAATCATGCCCTCAGGAATTAAAAATATTCAAATAAGACATATCTGAGTTTTTAATGGTTCCTGCGCTGCCATGCCTGCATCCAGACAAGTGTGCTTCTGCTTTGCCCTGCCTTTTTGGATTGTTTTTTACTGCCTAAAGCTTCTGTAGAGGCAGCTAAATATGATAGATAGATAGACAGATAGTTTATTGATCCCGAGGGAAATTGATGTTTTCCTATGGGGAATATAGTGTACCAATAAACCATTCTTATGGTAGCATAACCAACAAGTGACTGAGGGGTGTTGTGAGGTAAGATTGTCAACTATTTGACATCCGTCATTGTCTAAACTGGTGTGCAGCTCCTCTTCAAATTAGAAAACTTTGCAACATGAGCCTTTTGCTTCCAGTGATTACCCATGCGACAGTAGATGCACAACAACCCACAATGGCGGATGTCAGACTATTTCATTTGGCATGTCTTCCAGTGGACATCTTCATGTAAACTTGGCCTAAGACGCAAAAACCTTACAGTGACTTCTAGATATTATATTTTAAGGGGTTTGTCACATATGAGGAAAAAAATGAAAGAATGGAAAGTCATTGCAATGGTTTTAAAAATAGGTTTAGCATAACGCGTATCCACCTTTTCTGCTACCCCTGAAGCTATCATGAAACAAACAAGCCACCCACCGTAAGAGCAGGAAAAGTGACACTTTTAATAAAAAGACTGAA